TATGCACGCGTATTTTGTAGGTATTTCTGGTCCATATTATAGTAGGTCTGTGGTCAAAAGGGGGTCAGTGTGACGTCACGACGTAGGAAATAACATGACAGCGTTGCGAGCTCGTGAGATCAGATGGGGCGTTGATTGATGATAATTAGGCCATTAATATGCATATATGTACACTTGTGGAGTCGGCACACAGAGTATGGTGCATTTTGTCACCATCTCTATTCTTTCCGCGGGTTTCGTAAGCGCAGACAACAAACAAAGACAGAAGATTTGACAGAGATGGGGCAAATTCTAATCCTGAACTTTTTTAAACTTCTGTCTACAACCCTCTCAAATGTAGAGATACAAGTAGAGGAGGCTCATAGTCCGCTATCAGGCTTATATCAGACGTCCCAATTTTAACGGGAACAAAATTAACTCTGGGACGCAAAATTATCCTGTTTTCGGGAGTCACGCGAATATTTGAATAGTCCACAACCTATGCGACAACCGTTCGGATGGCTTGAGTTTTGAATCAAAAATAAATGGTCACGTAACTTATAGTCATAGTCTAACAGACTGTAGTCTACTCTTACGGGGGACCTATTTTAAAGTAAAATCCACAAATTATTTTTTCAACTATTCCAAACTCCATACATGAAATGGTAGCTAGTGGCATCAATGACAAAAATTAGTATGACTTTAACAATACAGTTTCACGACCTTGCTTCTTGACCAGCGTTTCATATCACACGGTGAATGTAACCATTTTATAATTTTTCTCATCACCATGACTTTGCTCTGCTCTGCATTCTATTATTGTTTAAAAACTATAAACAGTTGGAATTATGGCCGTGTGAATTGTTCCCAATTTCCTTCCGGTTTTTTGTTAACTCTGTGAATATTATTGTAAAAAAGAAAAACGTTTTGTAGAGTACTTCTGTTCAGTAAGAGTTTAGTCTAACGAGAATAGTGTTCATGTATTAAAGGATTCATCAGATTTATTCATGAGGAAATATAAAGTCTTAAAGATGAGTAATACACAAACACAGACCCAATGATGCTAACCAGTTGATGCGAAAAACCCAATAACAGGTAGAATCCGAGTAATCAAACTTAAGATTTGTTTCTCACAACTTTTGGGAATTACACAAAGCGGATGCCTCTACATATTATGCATGCGACGTTCTTATAAAAACTTTCCTCAAACCCTATCAGCGAAAATTCATTAATTAGTCGTAAAAGTTATTTAAAACCGACCTCCTGACATTGATCCCACATGTTCGGTTAAGCTACTGACCCCAAAACAGATAAGACAGGGAACATAACATCAACATTATTTCATACTCTTGTTTTCGTTTTACTAAAATAAAACCACGATGGCCGACGTAACACGTGGTCGGTCAAAAGCTCAAAACTATTTTCGGAAGTCAGCCATTAAATCGACACACCGCTAAAGAGTTCGTAAACGAATACAGGAATTAACGAATACACGAAACAAATTATACCAGCTATTTCGACTGTAAAAGATAAGCTTGAAACACTAGGTGCCAAAAGACAGAAAAAGAATCGGTGTTTGCAAAAAAAATCTAGTAATTTTTTTGCTCTTTGTATATTTTTTTAGTCTAAAGATAAGTTATGATCGCACGTTCCTATTTTGCGAATTGTAATGAAGAATTTGGAGGTCATTGTCGTATTGGTGTTGTAAAAAAGAATTAAATTAGTTTACTCTTGTTGTAGATATTGTAATTTTGAACTATATACGAACTAGTTATAAGTCAATTGAGTAATTTTATAATTTTTAAACGTAAATTCAGACTGTAAAATACTGAATTTGGTTTCGCAGTTTCGCTAAATATCATTGTAAGCTAAGCTAAGCAAAAATGCGTCAGATTTAATTTAAATAATATGCAACCGTGTGTTGTTTAATACAATACTTTTTGCAAAACAAAAAACTGAATACTTAAAGAATGGTATTGTGATTGCATCAATATAAAATGACAATGACCAAATTTGTATGGAGCGTGGTGCCTTTTCGTTTTTTCGCGGCAGTTGATCGGATGTGGAAAAACTGATGCAGAATAACATTACAAACAAAAAAATATATGGGCTCTTATATCAAAAACACAGTCCAAACCGAGTTAAATCGGTTCAAAGATGTGAAAATAGTGCCATATTATTCCTGTTATTTTGTTGATGGTGACAACGCATATTTCTTCATTTACTTGTCAGAAATATTTTGTAATAAATGTTTAAACGATTTCAAGGAATATAATAAAGCTTATTGTGGACTTTTTTACTTATTTTATATTTTTTGTTTTTTTTTTTTTGTTATAAGGCCACGGAATCAGAACAGAGTGAACCATTAACTGGCCACTGCTGAAGTAAAAAAAATATTTCACTTGATTGGCTAGCGTGTTCACTTTATATGTAACTATACGGTTTATGGCTTACGACAGATTTTCATGATCAATTTACTCTCAGTCGAAAACCTGCAAAATACTTCACTTAGTCCTATCATGAATTGTTATGTTTGTCAGCTGCAGCGTCGGTAGCGGATTGAGTAGTGGCAGTCGGCAAAACTCAAAAATCATTTTTCTGTCTACTTCTTCCGTCTTACTCCGGATTAGTAACTAATCTAACTACATTTAATACTTTAATCGACAGCTAGCATAAGATTCTGTACAAAGATATCGTCATTCAGTCACAAAGTGATGGATTATATTTCGGCTGATGACATTATGTGGAAAAATTATTCGCTCATCTGACGTATAGCCCATCACTTTACAAAGTTAACGGTTTCATTTCTTCAAAAGATTATGCTAACTATAAAGTAGATGAGTCTCCCACCAGGAGTCATCGGAAAAAAAATACTTTATTAGATGTTTGGACGGCTACCACTAATCAACCCACCACTGGTACGACAGCTGACGCTCATGAAGCTTCATGACACAACTCCTAGAAGCATCCCACAAGTTATCGACTGAGAGAAAGTAGCTAATAAAAATTAGTGCCTGGCAATATGGATACATTGTGGTGTGATGTGATGTTCCTGTGTCCGGCGTACAGTGGCGCGCAATTTGAAGTTAGGAATTGTGACAAAAGTATGAATAATTTGAATAAAAAAAACCAAAGTAAAATGTTTGGCTCCAGCTCCTTTCAACGATCATAACTCAGTCCAGACTGAGATTTCCATATATGAGCCCATAGACAATTTCGTTTATAATGGCATTCTAGATAATATTTTCCATAAATCATCGACTGCCGCCAGAAAAAAGAAAGGCACCAATTTTAGTCAATGCCCTTTCGTGGGCAATTATAAGGCGGAGTCACTTTTAGCAATACCATTATGCTCCATGGCCATGACCTGAGAGATTAGGTGGTCAGATAGCCTACTTGCGATTGAGTCATCGACGAAAACCAAGAAAATGGCCAAGGCACTAAATAAATAAGATCATTCGTAAAATTGTATTAGAAAAAAATTAAAGCAGATTGTCCATTTTCTGAAAATTCTCGTTAGTAGTAGCATTCTGTCTGGAATTGTGCATGGCAACAGTATTGTATATTACTCATAACTAGCAAAAAGTGGCTGTTACATTATTTATAACGCCGCCTAACCTTTCGAGGATTAAAAGCCAAGACGTTATGTATTTAAAAAACAACCACAGCCGCATATTGTGAAAAAAAACAGACTAACTACATCATTCTCGAACTAAGGAAGCCTGAGGTTTTTGTGTAGATTTGTTTTTTCAGAATCAAGTTTTTTTATTGTATTAACTGACCTTACTTCTTGTTGGAAAATACTTCTTGGATACTTCTTAGATTGTTGGAAAATAATCTTTTGATTCATTCGAACAAAGTAATGAAGAATTTCGGTATTAAAATTTTCCTTTATAAGCTCGAGTTGAGAAGTCGTGGTGGCCCGGAGGTTTAAGACGCCGACTTCTCATGCATGAGGGTGCGGGTTCGAAACCTACCAACGGCAAGTACCAATGTGACTTTTTCCGAGTTATATGTACTTTCTAAGATTATTTAGACACCACTGACAAACGGTGAAGGAAAAACATCGTGAGGAAACCTGGACTTATAATTTCTAATTATAAGTTTGAAATCGCCAACCCGCATTGAGCAAGCGTGGTGATAAATGCTCTAACCTTCTCCGTGTGAGAAGAGGCTTTGCTCAGCAGTGGGCATTTATAAGCTGTTGATGAAGCTCGAGTTCGTAATAAATGGAAAAGTTAATGTAATCAGCGCGTAGATTTTCAACATTGTACCTATCGTATTTGTTAATGGCACCTACACTTTTTACATTTTTTCTTCATAAAATCTTAAATCTAGCCTTCGAGTTCTGCGCCTAGGAATAATTCAGCAATGATTAATTTTTGTTTATGTAAAGGTACATAAATTGGTGACAACGCCCTCTGTATTCAGTATCCTTCAACAATACAATTAATAATCTCGTGTTTTTTATTAGAAATTACCTAGTTGTTGGTTGTGTCAATGCCACTCAGCTTATTCAAACGGAAACGACCTACTTACATACACCTAGTTATGTTTATTTTCATTATATATATATGTATATTTATCGATTGATAATAATAATGACACGCTAGCTGGTATCGAGTTATGTGTACATAGAGTCCCTGAGTTCATCATTTAGGGTGATAACGACTCATCAATTTTTTTTGGTAATGTTTTGAAGTCTGGAGCTCAGTTATGGAGAGGATTAATATAAATAACGATGCTTGGAAAAATTAGGGTTTTAAGCTTAAGGTCTATTTATAGACCATAAAATATTTTGTTTAAGGTTTTTATTGTTTCGTTTCATGAGCCAGTCAACTTGCAGCAAAGCTAAAGCATGGCTTTATTGGCTCAATACCATTAAACATTAAAAAAATTGAGCTCAAAATAGAAAACTATATTTCTTACTCGTATAACCATAATGATTATATTACCTACTTATATCTCTCTCCTTTCTTTAAGAGTGTAATGTTTTATAAATTTACCTTTTTCTCCCACAGCTCCTCGGCCTAGCGGTGATAGGTATTGGAGTGGCGGTCCAGTTGAACTGGACGGTCGTGAAGGATGAGCTGAAGTCACACTTGACGGTAGCACCATGGGTGTTCATCATTATTGGAGCCATCATGTTCGTGATAGCCTTCTTCGGTTGCTGCGGAGCGATACGGGAGAGTCACTGCATGGTTGTCACGGTATGGATCATTTTAATGTTCTACTTTTATAATTTCATGAAAACATTTTCTAAGAATGGTAGAAGTAAGCAATCAAAGACAATCCTTCAGTAGCTTTCGGAAAATAACAAGCAAATACATTTCGGTTGCAATTGACAAACACATCGAACAATACAATGCTGTGTCATTTTGACACTGGATTTGTGGTTCTTCTGCGAAACGAAATGGAATGTAAACCGTGAAACACATCCGTTTTGCAGTTACGCATGTATGTCTAATGAATGCAAACTGAAGTCTCTTTAGACCTACAGCTGGTTGATCAAATTATTGTAATTATAGGTAAAATACAGCATTAGTAGGTACACACGGCTACACATCGAGCTTTACATAACCAGTATAATCTGAACGTTAAATGCGCGGAAAGATGATGCGACGCGACACCAGGATGGTTTTGTATAGATTGGTGTGTGGCCGTGTGTACTGCAAGCGATTTATGCATTTTCTTTCAACTTTTTTTAGCCAACTTCCTTCTTTAATAAAACTGAATTACTCTTTGTTACAGTACGCTATCTTCTTACTGGTGATAATCATCGTGCAAGTGGTAATTGGCGTGCTCTTGTTCGCCTACGGTGATACGATCAAACAGAGCCTCGTCAACTCCGTCAATGCACTCTTCGACAAGAGGTCCAGCGCTTCTGTTGACAAAGCTACTGATGCCGTCATCAACAACCTCCAACAACAGGTAAATATTACTAATTATTCATAAGCGCGTGAGACAAACAGTGGAACCGTGTTGTTGTGCCATTTAACGTTGTGTGCCGAAAATGATGGCGCAATCAAACATTAATCATTTACATCGCATAATCATTTAAATCGCATAAAGCAACCTGTGTACTCCATCTTTTTTATACAAAAAATCTGTGTATCTTCTTAAAACTTCTAAACTTTTTCATCAACTGTAAATTAATGTCCTTACTCGCAATTCCAGTTCAGCTGCTGTGGTAAGAACGGTCCCCAAGACTATGGCATCACCATCGCCCTGCCCGACTCCTGCTGCAGCACCACCAGCACTTTCGGCCAGGTCATCGGAGGCAGGTGTACCATGGAGGTCGCTAACCGAGGCTGCGCAAGTGTCATCTCCGACTTGTACGAGAAATGGAACAAACCTATTGCTGGAGTCGCCATTGGAATCGCCTGTATTGAGGTACGTATTCGTACTTTTTTATAGCTTATTTAGTTTATTGAAAAGATCGCTTAAGCGACTACTTAGTAGAAAATATTACCGATTTATACGGTTTATCGAAGTCATATCACTTCCATTTAGTCAAGAAATAAGAAATAATAAAGAATATTCTATTCTACCTACCAACCTAAACATCTCTGATAAAATTTTGTGCCGGCCATAATCATATTGGGAAGGCGAAAAAAGTGAATCCAATTGAACCTCAAATCCTCGAAGCCAAAGTATTTATTTCAGGTAAAAGTTTTATCAAATGCCTCCTTATTAATACAAGTTGTTGTTTATGTTCCAGGTGGTCGGAGCGCTGTTCGCGCTGTGTCTCGCCAATTCCATAAGAAATATGGACAGAAGGTCTCGCTACTAATATTTTGTACACTTAAACTGGTACCTATGAACACTATTTTTTTTGGTTCTGATTTTTTTTTACTTGTTAACTAATTTTGTGAGCGGACTGTACACTGCATGGCTGATTGATTTTGGGACACGAATTAATAGCAAGCACAAATGCTACTTACAGCGTTCGACGTTTGAACGATAACGATAATTTTTAAATCAACGATTTTTAGAATACGACTTTGTTTTTAAAAGTTTCCGTTCTTTTTTCAATTTTAATTCTAAGATTCTGATAAGAGATGGCGCTAGAAGTAGCATATAATAACGCCTTTTTAATTTCACTTGAGATTGTGTCCAAAGGGTGAATCTCAAATATTTGTAATTGCCATATACATAAATTGCTTGATATAATCAAGTGGTATTCACGTTAAGGCTAAGTTATACGATAATATTATGCAAACTTTGACAGAATTACGCGCTACATATTTTCCTTATCTATATATTACTGATGGCATTACATGTCACACCAATTATAATTTTGTATTTTATCGTATTTTACCTTAAGATGTTTTAGAATGTAATACAGTCAATAACTTTAAAAACACACTTTAATACTTCGATATACGTAATAACAATATGTCTCTCTTCAACTCTCAACGCTGAAAAGAGGCAAAAAAGTGCGTAATTCTGACAAAAATATATGATATTAAAAATTGCAGCTGTGTATTTTAAATTATATAACTAATATATTAATGCTTTTAACAACATGTAATCTGCTTCACTAACGGTATCGCGCAATTACCTTAAAAACTAACTTTTAATTACATTTTCGTAATTTTGGGCTGGTACGTCTAATAACCTGTGACGTCACGTAAGATTTGCTTTAAAACAAATTCCATCAACACATAGGATTTATAACTAAACAGCTTAGTATGAAACAATTTTATGACAACAATCAATGTAATCACAGAAAACGCATTTAATAAAGTCTAAATTCGATAGTAAATAGTTCCATTCAAACATAATGCTTTAGCTTCTCCCTAAAACGTAATAAACTATTAAACCAAGTCAATGGTCTAAATCACTGAAAAACCTCGCTTTTCAACAAATTAATACTGAATTCCCATATTGAAATTATTGCAAAAAGACATTAATTCATTCAAATTAAATATAAAATCTCATGAAATCATTTTTTAATCTTATTTATCTATCATTATAGACATACTCTATGCTTTTATATTACTCGTAGCGTTCATGATTAGCTTTCATGGCCTAAATATAACTCGAAAATAATAATTCTTCATTAAAAATAAAGAGTCTCTTCTAGATGTTATAACTTTTTAAATAATATTTATCTCTATTAAAAGCTTTCGATTTAAGGAATCTCCATTTATTTTTATATATGTAAACATTTAGAATCTTGCTATGTGATATTGTATTTTCATAAAACATGTTTAGAAATCTTTAGGTGCGTAAGTTTATGATAAAAATTGAAATTAAATAACTTTGTCGACTATCTATTTTAATTTTTGACTTTGATAAAATATATATTTGTGTCCATTATTAGACTTTTAATAGTTATTTTGTTAAATATTTATTAAATACTGCACAGACTTTAAGTGTATATTCGTTAAATGTTTGTGCCAAATAAAAAAAAGATGTCATGTTCAAAGACACTAATTGTTTTTTCTTTGGATGTGTGGAGTCTATGGAACAGTAGAGACAAGAGAGTTGTGCCTTGCACTGATTGATTTGATAGAATTTTGTAATCAATAAAGAATGTGTGTAAAATTGTTTGTTTTACTAATCACACCTCTAGTTTTAAGGCCCAATTTTTAAGCTGGCAATCCCCAAAGCTTTAAATATTGCACAAAAATATATTTATTGGAATTGTTTGACCAAAGCATGATCTTAGGTAAGTCACATTTTGTAAATAATAATACTAATACGCATGTTTGTTTGTAATTTTGTTTTTTATTATTTTTTTTTAGTTTGCCTTATAATTTTTTGGTTCAGTGTCCAAAATGTAGAAGTTATTTTAATAAAAGAAAACAGAATAATTTCTACTTCTTTATTACAAAGAATTTAAGCCGAAAGGAGACTTTGTAAGAGTAATTTTTGTTGTACATTTTGTTATACTAATTTTAGTTATTTTTATTATTTGGTATGGAAGGTTAAATGGTTAGATTAAAGAAGTAATTAAGTTGTATTATAATATTTATGTTTGTACCTTTAATTTATTTGTTTGTGTTTTAATATTCAAGGGTACCAGTGTTCGTAGATCCAATTTATACAATCGTTTGTTTTGTGTGTTTTTTGTTTACAGATTAACTAGCAGGGCTAAACTAATGATTTTATTTTGAAAATTTCAGGTATGTGTAAAACGAAGACGTCACGAAAATATACACATTCGAATAAGAACAATATAAATCAACGACAGATACAAATACATAAGCTACTTATGTACAAGTTAAAGTTAAGATTAGCTTGGTCTAGCGCAAGTCCCACCTTTTCAAAATAAAAAAAATACAATTTTATATTTAGGAATAGTTTACTTTTGTATTCATTTTCTTTTATTCTTTTCTACAAAAAAAAAATATAATTATGTAATCTGTATTCTGACCTGATTTTTGTCTTTGGATTTTAGATTTTTTTTTCTTTTGATAGACAAAAGTAAACTCTTCCATGCAAGTTAACTTTTTTAGGACGATACGTTGTTGTATTTTATCGTGTATCTACTAACGTCAATATAATGTTGATCCCTTGTAGATGTCTAACGCGCTGTACCTTACCATTACAATTAGTTATTCATTTTCTTTTGTTGCACCATTTAAAAATATAAAGTTTAAGTATCTACTGTTAAGTTAGTTTAGTGACTGTTTGTTATAAACAATAGAAATTATATTAAATAAAGTATTTTCATAGATCGGCGTTATTGAGTAAGTACGTCCATTTTACATTATGATATTAAAGTGTTAAAATTTTGATATTTATGCATTTCTATTATAATATATTATAGTAAGGTTTTATTACACGTTTCACAAGCCTGTGTAAATAGTAAACGAAGTCGGGAGCAAATGTCTGTTTATTGTATTTTGAATCTCTTTTGTGCATTTCTGATGAAACTGCTTTTGTGGATGAAATATATTGTATTGTATGGAATAAATAAATTTTCTACTTCAACATTCTGTTTTTCTTTTCTAAGTACCTGATAACTGCAGGATAAAAGGACGAGAGACACTATAACTCGGTTGGAATGTACACTAGAAAGGGTACTTATTTCAAAAGAAAAGGAGTTCAGAAAATATAGTTACAATGGTTTAAATATGACCATGGAAGTGAAATAATGATACCGACATGTATTTAGAACACTCCGTAATACTCGGTTAATGTCTAGTCACGATACCAAAGTCATGGGTTAAAATCCCATCTTTGCCAAAGGTCATGTCATTCAAATATTTATTTATTTATTTTATTAATTTAAACTTTAATTCCAGGCAACTATGGCCCAACAAAAATATTTCGATACACAATTGATGTTAGTAAATAAACTTAAGCTAATGTTAGTCACTTTGCCCTAGGCCGCCGTGCGCGCGTGTGGCATTTGTCCGCGGAAGCGACGAAACTCCACTCACTGTGGCCAGAAGTCCTCTTCTAAAACAAAGTGCAGAAAACATGTTGGCATTCTCACCACATACGCCGACACTATGGATCGATTCCAACAACTGCATTCTCACCCTACATCTGATCTTCTGAAACACGTACTCCGCGATGTCCTCCATTCATCCTCCTCCCTCCGTGGTGGTGTAGTGTAGGCGGGAGCTGTACACGGGCGTTTGAGTGGGTGGCACGCACTTTTATATGTATTAGGCTCCACAGGAGCGGTGCAGTATTAACTCAATAGCTACATTATGTACTCTTATCCAACGGATTCCTTAATATAAGATGGAGTAGCATATATGTCGCATTTCACGATTCTTATGTATCTACCTATACCTAACATGGATAAATACCGGAAAATGGTTTAGATCTCATCTTTGTGAAAGTAGGTAGAACAAAATCGAATATAGACGTATATAGGTGTCATAATGATTTCCTTATCGACCACTTGAAATAGACCTGCCTCTAGCAATCTATTGTCTAGTACTGCAGAAGGTATTCGAGAGAATTATGTATAAAAGGGTGCTTAAATATTTAAATAAGTTTAATATTCTAGCAAAGGAGCAGTATGGTTTTCAACAAAATAAATCAACAACGTTAGCTATATATACACTTGTAAGAGCAGTAATGAATAGTATTAACTCTAACACGTCTTCTTGTGCACTACTTCTGGACCTTAGTAAGGCGTTTGATCTAGTAAATCATCCAATATTGATTGAGAAAATGGAAAGATATGGTATCAGAGGTTCAGCTCAAAAATGGTTCGAATCATATTTAAGTGATAGGAAACAGATAACCAGAATTACAAAATTTAATGAGATAAGTAACACATTAGAAATATTTGATTCTAAACCACTCATAAATCGATGCGGTGTACCGCAGGGGAGTATTTTGGGACCATTATTATTCTTAATTTATGTAAATGATTTACCACAAGCAATTAAACATCAGTGTGTTCTATTTGCGGATGACACCACAGTAATCATAGAAACCAAAAATCCACAAAACTATGATACCATTATAAATGAGTCAATAAAAGATATTACTAATTGGTTAGACATTAACAAACTAAGAATAAATGTAACGAAAACGAATGTATTAAAATTTAAAACTTGGAAAAGTAAACACATACATTTAAATATTGCATATGATGGTCAAATGATTGAACAGGTTCGCAGTGCAAGGTTTCTAGGGGTTATTCTTGACGAACACCTTACATGGAAAATCCATATAGATAATATTTGTAATAAGATTAATAAGTTTATCTTTGCTTTAAGAAAGGTTAAAGACGTTACATCAAGGTGTACGGCTATTCTTGTTTACCATGCGTATGTTTGTTCAATAATTCGTTATGGAATAATTGTTTGGGGAAATTCTACGGATATTTCTAGAGTGTTTATAGCGCAGAAAAAATGCATTCGGGCAATATTTAATTTGAAATGGTCTGAATCCTGTAGGCCTGTATTTCAGTCTAATAAGCTGTTAACTGTCCCGTCCATTTATATTTATGAAATTGCTAAATTTATAAGAACCAATCCTTCGCTTTTTCAAGTTAAAGATAATGTAAATAAGAGAAAAGCAACATGCGTACTTCTTCAAGTGCCTTCACCTAGATTGGAGTTATTTAGACGGAATTGTGTTTATATGGCTCCTCTAATTTATAATACGTTGCCTAAATCTATAACTGAACTTCCGTATAAGAAATTTTGTAATGTATTAAAGCAATGGCTAATTAAAGAAAATTACTACTCAATCCACGAATTTTTAGAAAAAAACAAATGTAAATCTTTTAGTTTTAAAGAAAGAAATAAATAAGAGCAGTAAGTGTACTTAGTTTATGAACCAAAATTGTAGCCTTCATGTATTTTATTTTAATCTACAGTAAAGATTAAATGTACCCAATTTGCATGCCAATAATGGTAAATGTGCTGATCTAAATATATTGTATGTAACATCTATATCATGTACCACATTGAGCAAATAAAGAATTATTATTATTATTATTCCAACAAAATTAACGAAAATAATAATGATTATCATTAGTTTTGTTATGAAATTTTTATTTATTGCTTCCCGACGTATGAGAATTTAGGGTAATGTTTGTTTGTAAGCTTATATAGAAAGAATGTAGGTAGCGCTAGTAGATAGTGTACGAGTACCATGGTAATAATGATATCGGTAGAGATGCAAACAAGGTGGAAAATAATTCAAATGAATGGAAACTCCAGGTAAAATTCAATTTTCCAACTAGTATATATTTATAGTTGCAGAAATAATATATTTTATAATTTATTTGGATAATAATTTTGATTGCTAAAATAAAATGTAATTAAATAAGTAATACCATCGAGAATTTCATCAGACTGACAAAACAACGAATCTGATTGGTGCACGTCACGATTTCTTTAGACGTGTTCAGTTTAATATGATTATCAATTTTTAGTGGAATCTTGCTTGAACGTTACTTTGACTTTGACATTACATGGGCTGCATTGATTTGTCAAATAAGAATTGTCAGTGTCAAACCAGTCTTGAATCATGAAAAGTGCGAACGTTTGTTTGAGCACGTCCTACGGTTTCGTCTTCGGTGAATTTAACTCTACTTTCACCACTGTGTGAATACTCATTAGTATCATTCTTAAATGTGCTGTGATAGAACACGGTCGTCTACTTAAATTTACTTATTAGAAATACTCATGCCATGGCGAGAGTCGCTACCGAAATGGCATACAAAAATTATTGTGTAGTGTTTATAATTTTCGCTCTAGTGATAGTTCAAGCGGTGGGTTACGACACCGAGTTGTATGAAACAAAGCCTTGCGACAGCAATGCATGCTTTGACGAGCTCCACGGGTCTCTAGGCGACTGTTCGTGTAATGTTGACACCATCGATTACTTCAATAACGTGAAGGTCTACCCGCGGCTCCAGAGTCTAGTGAGGAAGGATTACTTTCGCTTCTACAAAGTGAATTTGAAAAAAGAATGTCCATTCTGGGCGGATGACAGTAAGTGTGCTATGAGGTACTGTCATATTAAAACCTGTTCCAAGGAGAGTGTGCCTGGATACGAGAATGGTTACGAGAACGATCACTTGGATGAAACTCCAGTGACCAAGTACACGAAGGAGGCGCAGGGTAACTGTGGTACTGATGCAGATCATGACCATGACCTAGGCTACTTGAATATGACCATCAGTGCTGCTAGTCAGCATGAAATCGCCAAATGGAAGGCCCATGATGATGCTCTGGAGAACTTTTGTGGCTATGACGATAAGGATGTTGATGCAGAGTATGTGGACTTGTTGTTGAACCCTGAGAGATTCACTGGCTACAAGGGACCCTCAGCAAATAGAATCTGGAAGAGCATATATCAGGAAAATTGTTTCCGGCCAAAGCCTAACCCATACAGTTCATTCCCATTTGTAATGACATCAGATTTAGGTAACATGTGCTTAGAGAAGAGAGTTTTCTACAGAGCTGTGTCTGGTCTACACACCAGTATAAATGTTCACCTCTGTTCTAAATACCTGCTCTTTGAAAAGGGAGCTGGTTTCACTACTGATGGAGAATGGGGACCAAATCTTGAAGAGTTCCAACGCCGTTTTGATCCCTCACAGACCTTTGGAGAAGGTCCCAATTGGCTGAAGAATTTGTATTTTGTTTATTTGTTGGAGATGAGAGCTTTAGCCAAAGCTGGGCCTTATTTAGAGAAGGAAGAATATTACACTGGCAACCCTACTGAGGATGAGGAGACAAGACAGGCAATTCATAACTTACTGAGTGTAATTTACTCCTTCCCCGACCACTTTAATGAGTCTTCAATGTTTAATGGAGGAAGTCAAGCAGCTAAATTGAAGGTTGAGTTCCGAGAGCACTTCCGTAACATCTCAAGAATAATGGATTGCGTTGGGTGCGACAAGTGCAAGTTGTGGGGCAAGCTGCAGACACAGGGTCTTGGTACTGCATTGAAGATATTGTTCTCTAGTAAATGGAACAGTCCTGAACCTGATCCGAACCAGGGCAAGCTACCTGTCAGACATAAGTCCCATGAGAGACTGCAGAGAACGGAGGTTGTCGCACTGTTTAATGCATTCTCCAGACTCTCAGAAAGTATACGGCAATTGGAGCAGTTCCGAATAATGCTAAGGTAAGACTTGAATGTTTTCTTTCATTGTAGTTATATATTATAGTTATTTTAGTGCTGGGATTAGGTATAAAATGTTTAAATAAATATCCTTTTTTATCTTTATTATTTTGTAAGTAGAGCTTTGCCCTAAGAGAAAAAAGTCAGCCAAATTATAGAATAGAAAACTCATTACACACTAAAGTAAAGTAGCTAAATCGTTTACAGGTTTAGCTAACCTAGCTAGGACTTAAACATAAAATACCTAATTAAACTATACAATTTTCTAGCCTCAGGTGACAATGTGAACATAATCTTTGCATTCTGAATCTTAATTTAATTTTATAAAAACTAGTGACTGATAGATATAAGGATATTTATTTTTGCAATTAATATGGAAGGTATCGGATTAGTAGGAAGTGCATTAAATTACAGGAAATTTTATATCAAAAATAGAGATTAGATAATTAATCTGATGAGTATCTTAGTCATACAATGTCTTAGGAGTATAGTTGCATTAAACAACAATTGTTTAATGTGTCTTTCAAGGAATGAATTTCCTGGTCTTAACTCGTATATCCCCATTTCACCAAGCGGTACTATATTATAGACCTTATTTCCGATGTTTAGAGACTACTTTTGTATGAACAAATTTAGGGAATGATTTTCAACAGGTTAAGTCTCAATCAACTACTAAATAATTTGTTCCAATTATACCCCTGTACTTTAATGCACTTATTATAATGCTTATTTTTTAATTTGTAATTTGCATGCACTATACATATAACTATATTAACTCTACTATTTTAATGCTTCTAGTTCTAAATGCTGTAAGTAGAATTTATTTAACCTGTATATTTGTTTGCTTGTACATACATGTGCTTTCTGTGTGGGACGATGGATGGTTTTTTGTTTATCATCTGTGATAGTAAACAATATTTTAAGATAAATTCTAACTGAATCATTCTTTAACAGGAATGGAGAATGGTTAGTAATTTAAATATAACTCTTTTTACTAAATAACAGTAGAAATCTAGTTAGCTAGTAACTAGTTATTAAGAATAACCTGTTTTCTTCTGATTTTGAAAAGTTATTAAATAAAAATGTAGCACTAGTGAAAAAATCAACATAAAAATATGTGTCAGCATCAGCATAAAACATAAAAGTCATACAGGTCATATAATGTATCATAAACTAAGGAGAAACAAATCTCATCCTTGTTTTCTTAGAGATAAAGCTTAGATTTGTGTGTTGTGGTAAATTTACATACATTCTCTATTATCATGTTGTGACGTAAAAAAAGAGGTTGTGTAAGTGTGATATAAGTTCAGTAGTGTCATATTCTAAAGACATGTAGAAAGGAAAAGTTATTTTTAGCACCTATTGAAAGAAAGTAAAAACGTGTTGAAGTTTAAAGCTTGTCTCCACAGCATCCTTTATAAAATTTATCTTCGTTGTGTAGTCGAGTTTATTTTACGATAAAAGTAATTGAAATAAAAATATAAAATAATAATAAGTAAGCTGCAATACTTAACACATGCCGTATAGTAAGAAAGTTCCTGCAGATAGATGAAAATGAAGTCCCACTACCATTACCACTCTCATCACCACGACCATTAGCAGCACTACCACTAGATAAATATACCTCAAGCAGAATAAATACTTCATTTATATGTCCTTCACTTCGTTGACACCCGTGAAGGACATTAAAGCCGGCCTTATGACTGAGAAAGAGAACAATCTCATAAATAATAATGGGTGCTAATTAGCACCCATTCTCGTCTGCAAATATACTAGTCAAAACAAAATAAGGGCCACTTGTTATTTTTAACAGCGGTAGCGATAATTTATTTTTTCTGCGTACTCAAGTAGCTGAATGGTTATTATAGCGTTACCTTATTTGTTTACAAACATTTATTTAAGTGTTCTACAGGCATAACTCTGTGAAGTGAGCAGTTTTTGATAATTTATTGTACCCACTTGATTTTACCCGATTTTAAGATGGATTTTAACTCAGTCAAACTGACGATTCTGTCAAGAACAGTTTAGTTTTGTTTTACTTCTGGCTGAATTATTTCTTTAACAAAGATTTGCCGAGAATCCGACGTCATATAGACTTACCAACCGTAACTAGGGCCGTAACATTACTTCAAGAAGGCCATTCGCAGCGTTCTGTTGCGATGCAGCTGGGTTTTTCCCCGCGAGCAATTCAGAATGCTTGGTATCGATTTCAAGAGACTGGGAGACTAACCAGGAGACGGGGATCTGGCAGAAATCGACCAACTACCGCACAGGAAGACCGCTACATACGTTTGACTGCGCGCAGAGAACGCTGCATCACAGCCCGTTCCTTACAAAACCGTTTGCGGCAGGCTACGGGTACACGTGTTAGTGATCAAACCATTAGAAATCGGTTACACGAGGACCAGCAGTTCTCTAGGAGACGTGTAGTGCGGATACCATTGACAAGTGCTCATCGTGCAAACCGATTATCGTTCGCGAGGCAGCATCTGGCATCGGATATGAGTGAATGGAGCACAGTATTGTTTACGGATGAGTGCAAAGTAAAATTTTTTTGTGATGACCGTCGTATTAGGGTCTGGAGGCGTGAAGGTGAGCGATTTTCGGATGCTTGTATCCATGAAAGGACAGATTTGGGGGCCCTAACGTTATGGTGTGGGGAGGAATCTCTACATCAGGTAGAACTGAGTTGATAATTCTCAATGAAGGCACAATTACAGCTCAATGTTACATCGAGGAGGTCATAAGACCTCATGTGGTCCCATATGCACAAAGAATCGGCGCAAGATTCCGTCTGATGCACGATAATGCTCGCGCTCATACAGCTAGGGCCACCAGAGAAGCTATAGAGGAGGCTGGTATACAGGTGCTGCCCTGGCCTGCAAACAGTCCGGATCTCAATCCCATTGAACACATGTGGGATTTACTCAAACGCAACGTTCGAAGCACAAACCAACCCGTGCACAATGAAAGACAGCTAATAAACATTTTAAAATCAAGCTGGGAACAAATTCCTCAAGAAACAGTGGTACACTTGGTGGAGAGTGTACCATCCAGGCTTCAAGAGTGCATTAGAAAACAAGGAGGGCATACTAAATATTGAGGAGTTACAATTCAACCAATATCTGATTTGTTTATTTTTTTACTTGATTCTGATTTCATACGTTTTGCTTGCAAAAATGTTAGTTTTTCAGAAAAAAATGGTAATTTTTTTTTTTTGGAATGTGTCTTTCATCATTTTGTGTTGTTAATAATAAAAAACAGTTAATTTATCAAATCTAATCATTAATCAACACTTAAACCTCAAGATTTCATGAGGAAACTATAAAAACGTGGTGGCCCTTATTTTGTTTTGACTAGTATATATTTAGTTGTCTAATGAATTAATAGGTCAGCGACAAACTTTTAGCGTCTAATAAATGGTTTATAAGCGACCATATATTGTAAAACAAGCTACTGTTAATATGACGCAACATTTAAACTAATATTTTTAATATAAACGGCTAAATGGTATGAAAAGATTTGAAAAGCAGTTAGTGATATAACGCTCGGCGGGCGCTACCGCGGCACCGCTCGCTACGCTCGCTCGCCTCGCGCCTTGTGAGGGTCGCAGTTCTAACCTAACCTAACCAAATGTTTCGGGGTGCCCAAAATTGCTGTGCAGTCAGTCAACATTAGTCGCTGAGTTATCAAATCAGAAGTAAATATATTTATCGGTAGCTCGGAGTCATATTAATTTACGCTCGTAAATTGACGCTGGTTTCTTGATATTTTGTTGGAATAGTAAAGATGATGAATTAATATAATTGAAGCTGTTCTATTAACTCGTCGCTCACATATAAAAAAAGACGCTAGGTTGCAGGTGCTAAAGAAAACTTTTGTTGCCGCACATATAATTTCCCAATAATAATAATCTTTATTACGCAAAAAAGTACACAAGTATACATTCATTTGACACAAGTCATAGTGTCGTAGTACAAAATTAAAACTTTGACCTCTGTATCACGGAGATCAGTGCCGTCGTGTATTGTAAATGAAGCCGGCCAATCAGAGCGCCGAACACGGTCTCGTTTTAATTACTTTCCCTAAACCCTCAGGTTTATAAGGTTTGGCAACGCGCGAACTACTCATCCATCTTGTATAGGCGTTCATTTTGGCAACGTTTACGGCAGTACACTTATTAAACAAAATCCTGTGACGAAATCGCTATCCACCCTATATCTTCTAAGTGTGGGAGAGCCATGCTTCAGCACGAATGGGCCGGCTAGACCGCAGTGATACCACGGCCTCACAGAAAACTGACGTGAATCAACGCTTGCGATGTTTCGTTGTGTGAGTGAGGTTACCGGAGGCCCAATAACCTTCCCCTTCCCCAATCTCCCCAATCCCTGAATCCCCGACGATCCTCAAACTCCTAAACCCCAAAAATCCGGTGACGCACTTGTAACGCCTCTGGTGTTCCAGGTGTCCATGGGCGACGCCGATTGCTTACCATCAGGTGATCCGTCTGTTCGTTTACCGGCTTATGCCATAAAAAAAATCTTAAAGGTAGTCCTGCCTTCCCTGCATTCGCTGGCGCTGAGTGCAAGGGAATATCGCCTAATCCAAGTCGACCGGCAACTTTGTCGATTGTACTACATAGGATAAGGGAGAAAGGCAGTTACCATATCCAAGCAGGCAGTATGGCTGACATTACATATGAAAGGTTTTCTTTAACATGGAGTGTCTATCATTCTAATCATGATTTTGAACCCTTTTAAGATATGTAATAATTTGTCGAACTGATAAGTTTTTTACATTGCAATTTATGTTATCTGACTGGGAAAAAAAATAGAAAATCTGCTCAGCTCTAAACCAAGAGTTTGTTATCGATTACGCAAATGAACCATTATTCTATTTAATGAGGAAAATACGACATAAATCGTAATAAGGTAAATTCGCCTGTTCGCGTCCAGTCAAAAAGGCTTGCCTGTTCGCTTCCACTTATCAGTTTGTGTCTATTTTACT